CTCTCGGTGCTGACGTAAGTGGGTTATCTGCCGTCATCGAACATCTACTAGAAGGCACGTGCTACGGTTCTTCCCCCCCCCCTCCGGCTCCCCCATTCATTATCACTTCTAAACTGAAACTCGGCAGTTCCATCCTCGTTAAAGTTTGCTGCACTTTTCGTTCGGTGCCGAGGCGGCAGTTACGAAAATTAATTCGAGTCCCGGCGAGACGAGACAGCTGAACAAGACGATTTAGATTTTAAGGGGGTTAATTTCGACGATGGCCAGCCAACTTAAAAATAAAAGAGAAAAAAATTGATCCAGGATGCGGCCGACGTCGAAGCTGGCGTGGCCACTCGGGCTCTACGAAAGCGCAAGACCTCGCAAAACGATCAGAGCCACGGGAGCTTCTTCCTCAGAATCGGAGCGATTGGTGAGCGAAAGTTTGAAATTGAAATTCGAATTCCGGTGTAAATTAAGTAAATTCAAATACGCAACGTCCAACGTTTCATAGACCGATCTATATCGAAATTTTTCTTCTTTTTCTTTTTTTCTTCATTTATTCGTAGCTTTCGGCTTGGGCACGATGGTCTACAATGGCTTAGAATTTGGCACCTTCTTCGAAGTGCCGCCCACGTCACCCTGCTACCAGATCCTTCAGGGCGTGAATCCGGTTCTGCAAATGATTTTCACGTTCATGCAAATGTACTTCATCTTCATGAACTCGAGGGTAGGTAGTCGGGACCGGAAAATAACATCGTCCATTCCTTCCGAATAGAAGACTGACTGTTCATTTCTCTAGCTCAACATTCACCGTTTCAAAGTGATCGCTCGTTTCGGTTTGATGCACGTGGTCGCTACCAATCTCTGCGTCTGGATTCGTACCCTGGTATTGGAAAGCATCAAGGAGATCACGAAGCATCATCAGAAAATGGGTCAATTCGAGGCGGGCATTCTTGGTAAATTCCCCCGTTATAGACTTTGCAGATCGTATTCATCCTTTTCCAGATCGTATTCACCTTTTTCTTTTTTTTTTTTTTTTTTTTTTTGCACGAGAAATTAAATCCTTCTGCGATTCGTGTTCAGCTTTTTGCAAATCAAATTCATCTTTCGAGTGACTCGGAAAAATTAAGTAATTAAGTACAAAGTTTCTTGAAAAATTGAATTCTGTGCAAGAGATACTTTGGTTGATCCTTCGAACCATGAACATTTAGTAGATGTCGTTAATCGTTCTCTGTTGCAATTATCACTCTTATAGATTGTTATAATTATTACGCAGCGATAAGCTGCATTTACATGTACTTATATAAATACTTTTGTCAAACAATTTTATGTCATTTTTTTAAATTCAAGCATTATTACGTAAAATGCAATAAAATTTTTACTTCGGAGTAATGACTTTACACTCTTTGGATTTTATTTTGACTACAATGGAGAAAATACTTTTTGTAAAAAAGAAAAAGAAAAAACTTGCAAAAGGATGAATTTAATCTGTGAAAGGGTAAATTTGAGTTGCAAAAGGATTGATTTGGAGTGATAAACTTGTATAAAGACAGATCAATGGTATTGGGAGCAAAGCTGGACTAACTCTAGTACTATTTTCACTGGCATAGTCCGCTGTCACTCTCGACATACTCTGATCTGTGATGAGCGAAATATCGAGAAATCTTGCCAACGCGGTGACGGAATATGTTGTTTAGAGAGTATCAAACAGCACTCGATGAGAAACGCGGGAGCCATATTGGGGACAGCGCCTCGAGACGTGGCTCTTTTGCGAGAGGCGCCATTAACCGCCACGAGGTCATCGACCGTTTCAACGTCGGTGGCAAGCACGATAGCTGCCTCGTTGGGTCGAGTGATGAGAACGACGGCAAGGGCGATCGCGAGGGCTGTCACGACCCCAACGTCGACCACCACCACTGGCTGGAACCCTCCGACCTCAACGACTACTTCCACATCAGCCCCCCAGCCCAGTTTGACTACGACCACTGCCAACACTTTGTCCACTCTCTTCACTACGCTCACGTCGAAAGCTACCACCGAGGAAAGGACCAGTCCGACTACACCCACTACGACCACTACGACCACCACCACCACCACCACCACACCCTCCACCACCTTCTCGTCTTTCTTCATGGAACTCTTTGACGCGCCTCAAGCCGACAACAAGGAGGAGGTAACCAAATCGAATAACGTATTTCGGGTAGACTAGAATGGTCTATTTAATTGGCGTTCGATTAAACACCTTCATTTGTCCAATTTTAAACTGTGTCGCCAGCTTGGTCGCCAATTTAAATTTACCAACAGAGATAACGAGCGAGAAACGTTTCTGTGTTGTCACGAGAAAAACTAACTCTTGTCGTGAAATTGACAAAAAAAAAAAAAAAAAAATGGAGTTCTTCTGCTACAGAGATCATTTGAATCGTAAACGATTAAATCTCGTTTGGTGTAAAACAGATACACCAAATCTTCGACGTGAACAATCAGACGAATAGCAGCGAATACTGGAGCCCGAACTTCGGAGCGTACGCGGAGGCGTTAACAGACGAGGAGATTGCGTCCAATTCCTGCGGCCGAGTCAACATCATGGGGACTATCGTGCAGGACGCAGAACCGTATCTGTTCCCGTTTATCATCGAGTACAGCTTGATCGGCGCCGCGGTGATTTACGTCATGTGGAAACACATTGGACGACATCCTCGTTGGCCGCACCAAGTGGAAGCGGACCTTGAGCGCCGCCTCGAGGCTATGCTGTCTCGAAGAGCTGTCGCTTTGGCTCATGCGGGTAATTTCATTTTCTTCTTCTTCTTTTCTTTTTCCATTCGACATACAACTTCGAACGGTCTTGAATTTCTTTCTCTCTAAAGTCGCAAGCTCGGATTACAAAATATTCGTAATTTCAACAGTGCGAGTAGCTCGTTTCGAAGGTTCGAACGACCAAGTGTCTAAACATGTGTCGAAAGAAAGAACTGCAGACTCGCAAAGCTGCTTAAAAACAGCTAAACTAAATAGCATCTCTCAATGCGAAAATAGGTCACACAAGGGTGGACTGTGTAGGAGCGAGCAAAGGACTGTTCTTCGGCCTGTTGCTGCTGGTCGGCTCCCTCATCTGCCTGATCCTCTTCTTCGTGCTGATCCATCATCCAGACTTCGGCCTGGTCGCCATTTACCTAGCGGACGTCTCCCATTGCGTGTTGATGGTCCTGTCGATCGTCGCCATAATCGTCGGGTTCATACGGGTACAGAGCTTGAAGTTCAAAGCCGAAGAGCAGAGCGACCTCAACGACATCCTCCTTCGCGTGTCCGGCTTCGGATTGTTCGTGTACGCGGTGTTCAGCGTGATCGCCGGCTCGTTGGCGGCGTTCACGCACGAGCCGAATCTCCTTGTGATGCTGACCGGTCTGCTGTCGGTCGCGCAGGTGATCCTGCAGATGCTGTTCATCGCGGACGTGTCCCGCAGAAGGGTCCACCTGCCTGAGCACGATCGTAGCAAGCCCGGCCGACAGGTCGTCACCTTCCTGCTTATCTGCAACCTGACCATGTGGGTCATCTACACGTTCGAGTCGCAGAAAGTGATGGCGAATCCGGTGCAGCTCGATTTCTACGGGTTCCTCGCCTGGGCCATCGTGCAGAGGGTCACTCTGCCGCTCTGCATCTTCCACAGGTTCCACAGCGCGGTCACGTTCGCGGAGATATGGAAGACCAGCTACAAGGCGCGTCTCGACTAGACGCAGCCTGCCGCTGGCTCGCACTGGTACCAATGGCCCGGAGTGATGGTCTCGTCGTTCGCAGACAGAATCGGGAATGATTTGACGAAATGATGAATGACGGGCGAGGCCGAGGTTGCTTATCGACGACTCGAACATTCCTGGCAATTTTCATGCGAATTCGAGTCGATCTCTCGAGCGTAGACGCTCGAGGACGAGGGGACGGATTGTGTCAACAGGTAAGAAAGAGAGAGAGAGGGAGAGGGGGACTTCGCGCGGCTGATCGAAGCCGGCCAAATTGGACATATCTTGATGGCTCGTTGATGGATCGCCGGAGAACTCGAGGCAGCCTCCGGCCTCTTTTTTTCAAATCTCGGCAAAAAAGAAAAAGTAACAGGGAATAATAGGAGCGACAACGAAACACGTTGCTTTTACGATCCTCGTCGTCGAGGAAAGAACTCGAGGGAACTCGATCGACTCGATTGGAAAAGTCGGGGGTCAAGGTGAAAAAAAAAAAGCGTCGATGCTGCGCCCTCGCGAGGCAAACCGGGAAAACCCGCCGCGTTGGATCGCGACGCGTCGTTTTATTTTTTTACACGCGTTACGTACACGTTTTTATCCTCGGTTATCTTAGCTTGAAAGAAAAGAAGACAGAAAGAAAGAAAGAAACGCAGCCTCCTTGATCAGGTAAAGTCAGAAACGAAAGAGCACACGGATCAAGGGGAGAGAGAGGTCGATCGACGACCGCCGGAGAAAATGAAAATAAAAACGGAAACTAAAAACGAAAACGAAAACGAAAATTCCGAGTAGGGACAAAAGCAGATGATTAAACCGATTTATAAAGCACAAAAACTTCTAGAGAACAAAAACCGAACGAACACAGTGTACGTGCAATGCCATTCTCACGAAATAGAGCCCATTTCCTTTTCACACCGTGTTTCACACCTTTTACGATCTCTATATACTGCCGTCAAATTTTCTACTTTTATATATATTATATATGTACCCTCGCCCCATCGTGCATCGAGAGCATTTCAGAGAGTTCGCTTCGCTCTTCGACAATCTCGGGATCGTTCCCAGGAACGTCATCGATCGCCGATCGCGAGTCTCGAGGTGTATCGGAAATCCAGTTCAAGAACTGTTCAATAGCCAGTAGACGTTGTTACAATCGCTGCGACCGGAGCGAACGATCTTCTTAACGAGTCACCTCATTATCAGCGAATCGAGTACATTCTCCGTTAGCGTGGCCCACGGTAGTTTTTAGCTGAATAGCCGTGTGATCTCTTTCTCGCGAGAAAAGAAGAAACAAGTGGAAAAACAGAAGAGAGAGAGAGAGAGAGAGAGAAAAAAAAAGAAAGAAAAACGTTGAGCGAATGGGAGAGAAAGCGAAAGGACAGAAGGGAAACGGGACTCGATGCAGGAACAGGGTAATTTCGTTGCGCCGTGTTCAAAGCAATGACGTTTGACACGACGTTTTTTCGTCTCGCGATATCTTTTTTGTTCCCGCGAGCGCAAAGTCGAAGCTCGCCCGATTTCTAAAAGAGAGAGCCAAAAGAAAAACCGGGAATGAGAAGAAACGCGCCAAAAACAATTCCGACGTTCTTTCTCGTTGCGTGCTGCAAAGTACAAAGATTGTTTCGAACTTTTAGGACCCTTTTATCGACACACACCCTTTCGACGTTCATGCTCCGGAGAATCGTTCCGAACGATAATCGACATCGACGTGTATTCGAGTCGCAGGACAAAGTACACGACGTATAGAATGTATAGAATGTAAGAAGAAGGGGCGACGAAAGGCGACGGGAGAAGGCAGAAAGAGGACTCGTGTATAAAGAGTAGAGCGTTTTTGTTTCTCTTTTTCCTTCTTTTGTTCGAAAGAGTATAAATTTTCGAACGCTCGAAACTGGCTCGAGAAATGTTCGCGCTACGGCGAACACAGGCGACACACAATGTGACGAACCACGAATATAGATTTTTATCGCGAGACTAAGAGATTAGGAGCAAAAGGGAAAGCATCGCGAATGTTTCAAGACGAAGAGGAGTCTAAGAGAGGATTATATGATGACGAAATTATAGCCGATACACTAGTAGTGAATCTTACACACACAGTCACACATACACACAGTCACGCGTACCATAATCACCATCGTCGATTAACTTTTCAATGAAGCTATCTCGAGGCGGCAGAGATAGAAGGAGATAGATCGACGTTTCGCATTTAATTCGCTATGGATATCGTACATTGTAGATCGTTGAGCAAGCAAACCCAGAAGAGAGGACACACGTGTTTAAGCATAGTCGCAAATAAAATACATTGAAAATCCCTCCACGGATCCCGTGAAACTCAAAGAGGGAAGAATCCGACCCCTCCCTAAAACACAGGAAGTCTCCCCGAAGTCGAAGTACGTACCTAGCTATCCGAGTCTAAATATTTTAATTCTTAGACATATGTATAGGTGAAAGAGATACAAAGAGAGATAGAGATAGAAAGAGAGAGAGCGAGAGAGGGGTGTGGGATGAGGGAAACGAGAGGGACGAAGTTGTGACACTAATTATACATAAAGATTAATTATACATAATTGTAATCCGAGACGACATTATTGAAAAAAGTAACGATATAAATATTAAAAAAAAAAAATTAAAAATATATTATATATATATATATAGATAGATAGATAGATATATTATGTATTTATATATATATATATATATAAAAATACAATTATGGAGATCTTTTATTGAACTTGATGTGCGCGACTGCGAAATGGAATGCTGCGTGCGAATTATGTAAATAACGATGCACAGTAAGTTATTGCTCGGTAGTCAGTGTGTCTGTGAAACGGAGAACAATTATGTTTGCGAGTTCTCGAGGCGTTCTCGATAGAAGGGGGGTGCTGCGTCTGTTTCCTTTAAATTTGTGTGATTCAAAAACCTCATCAAACCTCTCCTTGAAAGTCCGAAGGAAAGCAAAAGTTAGTTTCGTTAGTCGTCGACCGTTTCACGACCAATCGATCGATCTTCGTCAGAGCACATTGTTGCGTCAAGCAGCTGAGAGAAGAGTGGTTCGCACTTCGTGAGTCCGCGAAGAAGAAAGGCCCGCGTCCACTGATTTTGAGAATCAAAAAAAAAACAGAAAAAAAAAAAAAAAGAAACCCTCGCTCTGCGCGAGGATCAGCCTTTGTTCGATCGGAGATCGAACGGAAGAAAAGGGGAGATGACAACGCGTGAAACGAGTCAAACACAAAGCGACGTTCAAACAAAAATCATAGTTAACAAGGCACTGCCACACACAGGACCAACAAAAGTCGAGGAAAGCGATAAAACGAGGGAAGAAAAGATGAAGGGGGAAAGGAAGTGAAGGG